TCATGGCGCAACGAATGAATAATTATATAGTACTAGCTGGCCTGGCGAACATCGTACCGCCTAACAGTCGATTCTTTATTTTTTTTAAATACTTATTCTGCTATTCGGGACAACGGTCTAGCTAGTGAAAAAATAACCTTCCCGGAACCCCTCCACTAACACATGAACTTTATGATATGGTATTAAAGTTCAAATTGCCTTTAAATATTATTACGAATATTTTGTATGGGAATATAGAAAAGTATTGTTTTTAGACTTTACACTCAATTTTTTTAAATTTTTCTCTGCGTAAGAACCATCCTCGTACTTCAAGGAATATTATAAAAAAAGAATCAGACAAATCGGTCAAGCCGTTTTCATGTTATGTCGTGACAACGTGACTTTTTAAATCTTGTATGTTACATTAACAAATTTATAAAATATAGATTACTGCAATTGATATTTCTTGTATAGAACAGTGCCAGTGACTTCAATAATTTGTATGTAAAGTACATCAATTGTTTGAGCTAAAGAATATGACTGCAAGAGGTATTCATAAAAGGGTATCATTCCGGCCTTTAGCGCGTAAGAATCGGTTTTGATATCGATCTTCTTGAAGGACGGCCAGATCACTGATTAAGTACACAAGGACTCTCTGAATGCCAGAAAAAGACGAATCCGAACCTTACCCCTTATAGTCAATGTATTTAATAGTTTTATTGCTAAGTAACACAATATTGTTTGACTTTGGTTATTTAACCCATGTTTATGTTGAACACAGCTGCACGGTTACGCTAAATTAAACTGCAAATCTGCTCATTGCCACTTTTAATGGCCGTCTTGCATTTTATGGTCTACATGCATCTTATAAACATCCATAAGAGGTATTAAAATTGTTTATATTTAAGGTCTTGCGAAGCTATATTTGGTATAAAAATCAATTGTTTATGGTGGATGCCTAAGCCGCCGCGTCCGCATGCGTCGTAATTTTTAATTCTAGTGATAGCGATACAAAGGTATATGTAATTTCAATATATTTTTCAGAAAATTACAGTCCCGTCCTGTTATGTTGATCATTATTAAAATAATCTAGCTGCTGTGGTCTCTGGCAGAATGACCTGCATTCTGAAAAGTTGGGAGCTTGTAGTTTATTGTTTATCAGAATGCCAAATCATAAAATGACTGCTTCACGACTGATTTGAGAGCGACCGCCGATGCGAAAACCGCTGTGTGAGTTCGAAAAGTGAGTTACAGAATCGCAGGGCAGCGCTGTGGAACTTTTTGCTCCTCAGCATAATGCTGAGCCAGGGCCAATTGCAACCACAGTACACACATTGCACACATTGCACACTGGAAGCGAACCGAATGGCAGAAGGGAATTTTTATTTTTAAATTTTTATTGTTTTTAATGTCTTATTTTATTTTTTTCTTTAAGTATTTTTATTTTGTGTGTTTATGTGTGTGTGTTTTCATTTGTAATAAATGTTATGTCTATGTCTATGTTTAATAATTTGTGTAAAACGCAAAGATCGAATGGGATCAGGTACAGTTATATACAGTCAAGTGGAAGGAGCTAGTACTGGGGAGCTCCCGCCCAGAGGGTGCTAAGAACCGCTTTTTGTTAAACTTATCAGCCCACTACCCACTACTATATACATTTTTATGTACACATTAAACTGGGTTCGTTTAATTATTTATTACCAAAATACCTATAAACTTACAAGCTGCATACAAACCAAACATGGATACAATTACAAACTTTAAAATCTAGTTACCATTTTTAAAATTGCGATAATTAAGTAGCAATTTATCATTTTAATACTTCGCCGCGTTTATTATATTTCAGTAAAAAATATTAATAAGAGAGCTTATATTGAACATTTTGTAATGGAATAAATATGCGTTAATATTGTAAGCGACCCTGAGCTTAAATCACAACAATGTAGTTCCCGATCTCATGGTGCAGAATTAGTGGCACCATGTATAGGATATCAAGAGGACATCTATTAATATCAGATAAATAAATAATAAAATACAAAGCTTCTTTCTTGCAAGAACTAAACTTAATCCTATTATATATATATTATTTAAGAAAATCAATTATACTATTTTTTTTCTATTTATATATCTATTTCCTAATTATTTTGAGAGAACTCTTCCGTAGGTGATGGCGTCCTCCAAGGATCTCCAGGTTTTGGGTCAGTTGCATCCAGCTCGAGAAAGCCGTGTAATGGCTAATAGGGCCTCCCCACCACTTTAATCTTCTTTAGTATTTAAATCTTAAGCTGCAGTGTTGGCCTATTGGCTTCAGCGTTGGACTCTCGTCCCTGAGGTCGTAGGTTCGATCCCCGGCTGTGCGCCTATGGTCTTTCGGTCTATGTCCATTCATCACTCGCTATTACGGTGAAAGAAACAAAAGTTCAAAAAGTGTAAGAGCGGCACAGAAGATTGATCACTTGCATATTAGAAAAACAAATGATCACGAAATAGAAACACTGATTGCATGTGTTTTGTTTTATAGTAAAAAAATAGTAGACCTGTATGTTTGTCTAATGTTGTCATTAAAATTTTATCTGTGGTCATAGATAAGACAATGATAAGTACATTCATTCATATATGCGTTTCATACTTTAATAGTGCCTTCAAGATTTCTTAATATTTTAATTGCTTGTCGTGTAATTAAGTAATGAAATTGCATTTAACATATTCTGACCTATGGCCACAAATATTATTTTATTATAACTGGCTTTAATTTTTGTGTTTAATTTTGTATATTCTATTATTATTACAGCTTGCTGTATGATTACTAATAATGATATTTAAATGAATACAAGCTATGACATGAGTCTTATTATCATGAAAGCATCTAAGTCCGCAGTGTGGTGTCAAGGTGTATGCCTGCATTTACGCAGGATGACCTTGCACTAGAAGAACTCACCCCCGTCTTGACCTTAGACCTTATTTCCGTAATAAAAAATATGACTAACGTTGCCTGTAAAGCTAGATTATGTTGACGATTATATAGGTCGTTACCATAAAATATTTGAGCTTGAAGTGCCTGTCTTAAAAACAATTGACTAATTTTATGTTTGCTTTTAACAAAAATTATATACCTACGCTTTATTTATATTTAAAATTTGTGAATTAGTTGACAAGGACACACACTTTAAGTATAATATAGTGATATTTAAACATTAAAATACTACAAAGGATTATTGAGACGACAGTTGTTATTTGTCATGCCAAACTAAGAACTTTTGAACGCGTTTAACACGTAGGTATTTAGTTCGCGTTCCGGAGTTGTTATATCTGTTTTGGTTTGAAGGCATAGCAACTGAACTGAACGCAATTTTTTTATTAGGTTTACCTTTAAACTTAGATTATTCTATCTCAATAGATAAAACTTGACAATTACTGGTGAAAATCTACAAAAAAATCTCTTTGGGAATATTAAACCGTGACAGTGAAATTGAATGAAATGATATAAAATAATTATTTTTGAAATTATACAATGATGTTACGAGGTTGAAATGTCGAACGCGACATCTGAGAAAGAGACCTTGTTTATGCCTATGGACGCTTACGGAAAGTCCTTGTAATGAAATACAAAACATGTAAACATATTATATTATTCACGTAACTTATGTGTAAAAATCTAATGATGATTTTTGAGAAATAGAAGGTAATTTTCCAGTTAAACTTGTTAAAAAAAAACTTTACTGAAACCATAATATCAGATCGTCAGTATAGGCAAAAGTTAACTGCAAAGGAAATAGAAGAAGCTCTGGGTTCAAACAACTCAGGTGTTACCAAGAATGTTATCTTTTCCTCGGTGATGACATGGGAGCTCACACCGTGACACACACAAGGTATACACAAAAGAGGAGAGGGACATAGATTGATACATAATTTAGAGAAGTCGTCCTGTGATGAAAACCAAAGGTGGCTTGCGTTAGTTGCAATACGCTTTTTAGTACATTATATTATCTTAATATATTCATTTGATAATAACTTAATTTATATTAACTATATTTGTTTAGACCAACTACTGGTAACACAGGGAACGACAGAAGTTTCTCGTTTCGGTGGCCATGGCAATAAAATTATTAATTAAATTAAGGTGAGCAAGGTTTAAAGTCACTTCTTTCGTTTGTCCTTTTTTTATGTAACGTTGCCCCCGTCTTAACCATATGTTAAGTGATACCGCCCTCATAGACACTCAAATTGCCAGAGGGCTAGCAAGTACGTTGCCGGCATTTTAAGAATTGGTACGCTCTTTTCTTGAAGGACTATCGAAAGGCGAATTGGTCCTGAAAGGTGGGTGTTAATTTCGTTTCATCGTTTTTCTATGATTATTTTGCGAAAATATATTTAAATTATTATTAGTGAAAAAGAGTCTCAGATAATTAATTCATTTGGATACTACTGATGTTTATGTAGTAGTACATGTCAAAACATGATTCTATAATTTCTGAAAGTTTATTACAAAGCTGTTAGTGTTTAGTAGTTACGATAAAATCCGATACTAGCCTTCTAACTTTGCATCGTGTTACACGCAACTTTACACACTAAATGTTAATTAATTTTAAAATACCTTTTTAACTTTAACCCACATTTTCTTTGTTCTATTTTTATGAGTGAGTTATTATTTAATTTATATCCATGTTCAAGGCTTTATTTGCGTTTCGTGTGTAGGAAAATATTTATCATTTTACAAAATGTTAAGTAGGTATGTATGCCAATTTTATCCAATAATTCGGATCGAGATCAAGATAGATTTGACGTTATCTTAATGGATTTAAAAGAAAACGCAAATACTATGCTTTAATGTAGTATTTATTATAGTATAAACAACGAAATATACCTTTTAAATCATAATAAGACAACTAGGTGTATAAATAAATTATTATTAACTGTGTTAGAACATTTTTCGAATTTAGCTAAAAATCTGAAAAAGTGCTACAAACCTTTATCTATCAAAATTCCGTCTAAACTTACATAAACATAATCTATGTTAAAGTTTATAACATAATTTCTGATGTTTCTAAGTTGTTGACAATTGACAATAAACTGACGACTACCAGTGTAAATCCAATTACAGTTGAGGTAGAGTTTAAACATTGATATTCAATTTCAGTTTTATTATCGTTAATATAATTATCCATATTTTCATATATATCAGCAAAACTTTCACCTTCGGTATGATTATTTATGTTTTCGTTGTCAGTTACTTCAATGCTATCCTTATCTTGATCACTATGTATAATATCCCACCTACTTTTTGCATCAAGGAAATATTTATCATAAATATCTTGCCAAAATGCCAAAGTTTTGGAATAAGGATCTTTTAATAAAATGTCTAAAGAGCCAGCTTCATATTTCTGTATGTCATTCTCATTCCGGATCTTTAGATAGAATTTGTTGTTTTGTGTAAAAGGCTGCCACTCAGTACTGGACGTTTCACTTGTAGGCGTTCTAAAATGAAAACAACATATAATAATTATATACAAATCTATTGAAATCCATTTATCACTCGAGTTTTGCTTAAAAACTAAAAAACTTATGTTAAAAAACTAAATTACTTACCCAGTTTTCGCGAAATTTGTCCATCGCTCCACTAGCATGTCTACAATGGCTAGGTCATAGGCTGCACTGCCTTCATAAGAATTTTCATAAAATAGATACGCCAGTTCCTGACCATGGACTGCCTTTTTTGTATTGTCAGCTTCTACAAAAACTTTTCCAAGATTCCCCTTGTATGAGAATTGATACAGATAAATTGGAGTAGTTCTAGTTACAGCACGAATATGAGATTCTCTTAAGGTGGGTATATGCACCATAACATCTCCAGCTAATGTTACATGTAATTCTTTTTCGATAGAATTATTTAAGGAGTAAAACCCTTTTATTTGCTCTGTTATTTTCTGTTTTTCTACTTCTGTGTTAAAATTAAGATCTTTTTGAAGATTTACTATACTAAACCAATCTTTAATTAAACCTTTTTGAACAACAGGACCTTCATTATCCACAAACCCAGTCATAAATGGCACGTCCAATTGTTCCCCAGAATTTAAAATTTGATAAGGCGATTTCAATAAAAACGGTTCTTTATCGTCGGAGATTACTCTCTCGATACAAGGTGCAAAAGCTAGTAAATTATCAGACTCTAGTTCATTAATAACCGCCATTAATGCAGAAGCCCTAACTCGAGTAAATATATCTGATAATCTGTGTACATCTTCAACACTATGACCAAGTGCTTCGGCAACCTTGATTGCAATTTGTAAATTATCTCTAGTTACTGCCCAGGGGGACATTGCAGTACCACTTTGTGCTATAGCCTTGTGGAAAAGTCCCTTTGAACTTAAAGAAAGTGTTAGTAAATCGACTAGTGAAGCTCCACTACCATGCCCAAAAATAGTTACGTTATGTGGATCTCCTCCAAAGGCTGCTATGTTTTGTTGTATCCACTTCAATGCAGCAATTATATCCTTGAGACCAGCATTACCTGGAGCTTTCGAAGTGCCTAAGCATAAAAATCCGAAAATGGATTCTCTGAAATTAGGAGTGACGACAACTACGTCTCTATCGATAATATTTTTAAACGCTGGGTCAAAGTTATTAATTTCTCGTCCTTTGATCCAAACCATTACTGGTAATTTACGAGTATGGTCCACTGTTGGAGAGACGACATTTAATGACAGGCAATCTTCGATTCCATCGTAACCATCTCTTGTGGGTCGCAGACATGTGATATTTTGACGGTTTGCTACAAACGGGTCTCTAAATAGCGGAGATGCTTTTGGAGGCTGTGGATAAAATGAGATGTCTATGTATGAAAGCAATAAAATACAAAAACACTACCTTATCAATCATAGAATATATTTCTAGAAAGTCAAAGTCAAATCATTTATTTCAATTAGACCACGTAAAATGGCACTTTTGAACGTCAAATTTAATAAAGATGATTTTAGTTGCCCCCAAAAAAGGATAAGAATGGGCAAGAAACTTCACACTTACTCTTTTAAAATAGGTTTTACAATATTTTGTATACATGAGTTAAATAATTATATGTGAAGACAATAGAAAGCATTAGAAGACATTATAAAATAGACTGAAAATAATTCTTATAGGTGTGGTGTAGTGACGTTTGCAAAATAAATAGCAAATAAAATCAAATACCTGAAATCTATTAATGCCTGCTGTGGAGTCAGCATATGGAATGCCATAAAACTTATAGTAGGAATCAAAAGATCCTATAACTGTTCCTTGCTTTATGTTAACACGCACTTCGCTTGGTCTATTTTCACTAGGTATACAGAAAAATAACACAAAGGTTGTACATACAATGTACCAAATCATTTTAGCTTATCACTAAAACTGAGAGCTATTTCTTTTCCATCTTAGTATGATAAGTCAAGTTATCTTCCCTTTCCTAGCTAACGTTATCAACAGATAAGGTAAAATATTTTTTGCACACCCAAGTAATCGCCCTTACAGCCAAGGTGATTTGGTGTCAATTTTTTACGTCGAGTTGTATCAATTAGTCCAATTTAAAATAATAAGTATACGTTTATGCAACTAGCAAGAATTTTAGTTGACGTTGTAGTTGGTGATTTATGAATGACGTAGACCCGAGGCCATTGTTTCATATTTGATAAAAAATAATTTTGGAAATTTAATGAATAAACCCATATGTTTCTTCCCATGTTTTCTTTACGGGAATACATGACTTAATGTTATACTAATTCAATAAATAATAAATAATCTTTAGACCCATAATTAGGTCATTGAACTTTTAGGATATCTTCGAAGAAAAACATTGTTCAAAATACCATTTGTGTCAATATGATAATTTTAGTGAATTTTGAACCTTACTGCTGGTGCGTAAGAGTTCAGTTTTTGCTATGGTCCCCTTTTTTCAGTAGTTCCCTTAGAGGGGGTGAGGCGTATAGGTCCTGGGGGAGGGGACACGTGTGCCACATGTGTCGCGATGCGCCTTCATGAGAATTTCTGATTCATTGGTCTTTGTCAATGGTAATATTAATAATTTTTATTTCGTACTCAAGAATTAATCATACACAGCGAAATACTGTTTCAATAATTAAAAGCTTCAAGACAAAATGACATATAATGTATGTATACGTTTGATCATTGTATATTTTGATAATATATTGTGATGTCAATTTTTTGTCTTAATTCATGTGACATAACGCAATGTTAATGTCACAAAAAAATTGTGATTTAATTGACCGCATTCATTGGAAGAATTACCTGAACTTATTGCTTACATAATTAATTGTGAGTCCATGTCGATCTGACACCAATATTATACTCACACATTACTGTCAGGGCTTCGAAGCGGTTTTTATGAATCCGTGAGTGGTAAGTATATATGATTAAATTAGTATGTTCTCCAGCTCCGGCAAAAAAGTTTATGTCGAAATGGGCCGGTCACATTGCCCGCGTCTGTGATGAAAAATGGGTCAAAAAAACCTTTACTTGGAATGGCCCAGTGGGAAGGAGAGGACGCCCACCAGAAACCTTAAAGATGGGACAAAAGGGATAGCGGGGAAAGATGGGAGTGGAGTAATTTGGAGGTGGCCTTCAATTCGTTGGAAGTCGTGTATTAATGTTAAACATGGACTTAATGTAATTCTGATTAAGTAGTACTCAAATACACGCTATTTTTGTTGAAGTTATACTTCTTTAGGCGCGTTATGAAAAATTGATGAGAGTGAAATTTTACGATACGCGCGCACCGTGACACAAAATTAACAGAATGAAGTTGCCCACGGAAGATGCTACGGCATTGGACATAATTTAAAAACAATATTTGAATAATAATAGAATTTATGTTACACTTAATGTAGGAGAATAATAATAAATATTTATTTATTTAATTTTTCAAATGTTAACTGAACTTTATTGCCTATAATGACTCCTTTTCCAGTCTTTGATTATTTAATTGTAATTAATTATTTGCATGCAATCAAAAACTGTTTTTATAATGCCAAAGAAGTATAACTTCTTACGCGCGTACATAAGTACACGCACCCTTTTTTATTTTATTTTATTATGTTCTCCAGCTCCAACTCTCTTGGTTTGTCAAGACCCAACAGAATGGTCAATTATTTTATATGGCAAGAAGCGTGAAATTTTACTGTTAGGTCAAAGAGCAAAGTTGGACGAATGGGACGCGCCTCTAGGGTAAAATGGGGTTACGAGATCTCTTTACAGAGACTTGAGCGGATTAAAACACTTTTTTAAAGACGGCCTTTGTACTTACGTAATACTGAATTACTCAAGACTAATTTAATGAACGCCTTTCTCTTTAAAATACTAGCAATAAAAGATCTACTATCAAGAGAATTCACAGGTTTAAGAAGTAATTTCGCGATAACTATCATATAAGGTGACCTTCAAAACTGAATCGCCTTCGACAAACGTAAATTAAATTTTATCTTAATTTTGTATCTCCCGGATAGTCCTGCCATGTGGTTCACCACGTGGGTCTAACGCAAAAAACATGTACCACATTGCCCAAGCTAAAATAAACCTTATAGACAAGCCGGACAGTTTATATTCGTATGTAAGGTGTATGGTGTTAGGACCAATGGAAAGATCGGTCACCTTGTGGGAGACTCCTATGCAAGACGCGAAAGTTTGAGCGCAACACATTGCACTAAGATTTTCAAAATACAATGTTGGATTAAAATTAATAAATATTTAGTAAATTTTATCTATTTTGTCAGTTGTATTTATGGAAGATGTTAATGATATAGTGCTAAATTACGTTTGGCTCAACAAATGTTTTTGGAATAAAATAATAACCACATATTTGAAGTCGATTCAATTCCATTCCAGTGTTTAAGGTTTAAGGAAAAAAAATTTCAATTGTACTTTAAAATAATAATACATTCATCTCTATCTGTTAAATTGTGATTACGCTGTGATCAAAAGAGAAGAGATTATGTTTATAGACTAATTATTCTTATGGGCTGTCGTATAACGTTTTGTACTGTTAACAATCATTGTGGGTTATTTAATACAACTATAAACGCCAGTAAATTGAGTTCTTTTCAGCAGTGACAGGTGCTGACACGACTGCTGTTAAGTACTTGTTATTCATAAAACATAAATCATTCGAAAAGCCGTATTTAAGTACAAATATTTGTGATTACATAAACACAATTAGGAAGAGAACTAGGAGAAGGAGGTTCATCTGATGTTAAGTGGACATGGACGATCGCACTGCCAGAGGTCTCGTAAGTGCGTTGCCAGCCTTTTAATAAATGGAACGCTCTTATCTCGACGGATCCTAAGTCGAATTGGTTCGGAAATCGACAAAAGTGCTTTCAAAGCGCGCATTAGGCGAGCAAAATAATCGTCATACATGCAACATTCAGTCAATCGACGCATTTGTTATGATAGGTTATATTATAACAAATTTTAAAAAGGCACAAAATTCATAGATGTCGCCGACAGCTCTAGTTCCACTTTACACCTAAGAATGTAAGATGACAAAATCATATTATGATGCTACGTATGGTTTTTATATTAAGTTTAATAACGTGAGTTATCAGTTAACCCAATTTAATCAAACGTGAACCTATTGAATTTATACAGGTATAGTTGAGATTTCATACGACACTTCTGAACATCTAAAACTAAACGTGAACTTAACTATAATATGTACGTTTCGATTGTAGATATTCTTTTGATCCTACCGAACAGGCATGCCAATGCGCGGCTTTGCCGTTCTTTACCGATGTCTAGTGTGAATGAATTTGCAAGGGTGTTAAATTCAATTTTATTTTATTTTAAAAGGCACACTAACGAAACACATACTTACAGAGAACACATGACATAGAAAACAAGATACATGCATGTGCATCAATAACAAGTGTGCACAATATTTAAAGGAAAACATTACAAAGATGAAGAGAAAATAACTTAAACATTAAAAGTAAAAAACAAACTAGATTAAAAAAAATACAAACGTGCAATTTACAAATACGTATATAAAAATAAAAAAAAACAATAATTTTCTACTTTGCAATTTGTTCACGGATCAACAGTGGCTGCAGCATCTTACGCCTGAAGACATGGAGACTGTCACTAAATGGATCTGCTTGGCATGTACTCAGAGCGTGGTTTAATGTCGATAGAGATCTGTGTAGAGGAGCATTAGAACCAACGTTGGTCCTCACTGCTCGAACGTAAAAAAGTTTGAAGTCTTGTGTTCCTCTTTAAGAGGAAGTTCACTTGACTTAAAACATTAGGTAAATCTACCAAGTTATTTCAAATTTTGTAAACAAATATAATGTCGATAAGGCGGCGTCTATCGCGGAGTGATTGCAAGTGAAAGAAAGCTAGTCTTTTTTCATACTCGCATTTATAGCTAATGTTAATGTAATCGTCATAGATGTTTGGAGAAACGGCGGTTGATTCGTTCGATTCTGGCAACATGGACAGAATATTGAGGGTTCCAAACAACACTACCATATTCTATAATGCTACGGATCAGAGAATTGACAAGTATGCTTTACATTTTTAAAACACTTAGTCGACCGCCTTATGAAACCTAACATTCTAGAAGCTTTATTGACTATTGCATTATAATGAGGTATGAACGATAAATTACTATCTAGTATTACTCCTAAATCCCTAATTCCCTTACTAACTCATTTTACCTCAATTTGTTTCTATGGAAAAATGGGTTTCTTACTTAGTTAAATTTTCTTTGTACTTTTACGTTAATATGCATTTTGGCACCGATATCCTTTACATCCATAAAAATGCCATAACGTATAAAAAGTTGTAGAGCAATTAAACGTCAAAACAGTTTAAAATCAGGGTCCGTACCAATTATTCTCTTATTGCGCGGATCTTATATGAAACTTTTTAATGTAACGTATTCTTGGCGTATAAAATGCACCGTTATCGCGTGTAGCGATCTTTCTCGATCAGCCTTACTAGGCTAACATTCAAGTTTTCGATTGCTCATTTGTCTTTATCACTCCAATTGGAGATTTTACTTCAATTTTTGATACAATAACTGAAACTTAAATTGATAAATTTTAATTGGAAAAAGATTTTTACTTGCGTTTTAAGTCGCCTATTGTATCGCCGAGAAAAGGTCGGTTTGTTATCGATTATGACCGGGGCGGACAATTTTATGAAGGCTTTTATATATTATACTAGCAGACTCGGCCAAGCTTTGCTGTGGCTAAAGTTTTTGTTATATTACATAGTAGTAAACTATTCAAGGGAAACGGTAGGATCAATGGGGACCATGCTTTTTTGGTGGTTATGCCATTAAATTGTAGCTTATGTGAAACGTTGGTACTTTCAACACA